AGATGCTATGGAATCCTTTGGGTAGAAGATGCTATGGAATCGATCGTTTCATGATCTAAGTATTTGATTTTCCTCTTTCATCATATGGGTTGGTAGTAGTTTGGGTGTAAGTTTGTGGTATGCTTGAGGCCTAATGGGCCCTCTCTACCTCAGCAACAGGTATTACATATTAATTTAAGGGGGATTAAGGGTAACTGGAATTTCATGAAAGTAAAAACTCTACATGCACTCTTAAAAGCATATGCATCCAATTGCACATTGAATTTTATATACTTGCAAATTTGGTTTAACATTTTTAGAAGCATGTTGATACAAATGCTGATAGTACCAATGGATGATAGGTCACTTTCTATTCTTATTATAGGTGCTTTGAGGCATTTCTCTCTTGTAGTCCATGTACACCAAGGATCTTTAAAATGGAAATGAACAAAAAGTGTTTGGTTTGTAATTTGTATACAATATACTACTAGCATTTTGGGTATCACCTCATGGTATTATGTTTATTTCTTTCATTTGAATGCATATGTATTCATAAGGGTGTGTTTACATGTGGATGCATGATAAACTGAGCAGGTCCAACAGGTTATGATTTATTTTTATTTTCTTTTTTCATGTCAACATGTACAGAAACATTTGTATGGATATTGGATGGAACAGTCCGGTCCAAAATATTTATTAGATTGGATTAGACCTGGTCCATTCGTAATAAATTTATATTGGATTTGGTTGGATTAAGCCAATATTTGGTTCATTGATATAAGATAAGAATATGTGTTAATGGACCGAGTTTGGATTGAAACCAATCTAAATCAAAATGAATTTGAATAGGTTGGACGGTCCAGACATTGAATTGGACTGGTCCAAATTAATGAAAAACATTCATTAGATTGGATTGGACCCGGTCCATTTATAATGGACTCACATTAGTTTGGATCGGATTGGACCCGATCCATTTATAATGGACTCACATTGGTTTGGATCGGATTGGACCATATCTAGTCCAATTGGCACCCCTGCCTGTATTAGACTCTTTGATATTTTTATATCACTTTGGTATTTTTTTATGTTGGAATAATGTTCGATATTCATGGTTAGTTTATTAAAGATTGTATCCATGTATTCCCATTGTGGTATTGTTGAAGAAATTGGACATGGCCTGAACTTAATAGCCAGTCCAATTTAGTAAATCAAATACCTCCTTGTAATGGATAATAAATTTCTCTCATGAGGGTAATTTTGTAAAATTTGATCAAGGTTAGTACTTTATTATAAGCCAACGCTATGTACAAGTTGATTATAGAACCATCAAGGTTCTAGTTGTAAATGAACATGATGTTTGTAATAGAAAAAAATTCATTTAGCTTTTTAATCACTTCTATCTGAATTAGGGGTCTGTTTTGGTTTATGGTGCTATATTCAGTAAGAGAATTTGTTTGTTTTCTCATACAACACTTCTTGCAGAAATCTGAAGAGTTTGGACTTGCTTGGAATTGTGACGTAAATAACTAGCTTACATGATCCCTTGCTGTTTCAATTTGAAATCCATTTAAATTGGTCGGCCTCCTACATATGCAATTCATAAATTAAATGATGGGAAGGATATTTCTATGGTTTTTCAGCATGGTATAGAAATTTGAGATTATAAAATATGGATTTAGTAAACTTGTGTGCTATAGCTAAAGCATTACTTGGGTAGTTGGGTAGATGTTATCAGAATTGGCCATGGGGTTCCAAATATGCCAAACCTTCTGCTAATTAAGGATATTATTTATTTATTTATTTTTTGATAGTTGGTTTATTGTTGTAGTTGCGAAGGATATTATTTTATTCTTTTGAAGCAAAAATTGGTTGATAGTTCTTATTATTGATATTTATTTGTTTATTCGTTTTCTAGTTAAACCTCCATTGGTTTATTTGAGAATCACTTGGGCACACATTGTCTTTTGTCCCTTGTAGAGAGCTCCATTTAGTTGGTCATCAATGAGCATGGAGCTTGGGTATCTTAACAGAGTGAGCATGGTATTTAATGTTCTTGGTTGAATTGCTATTGGATTATATTACATTCAATTTTTTGTTGCTCCTCATGCTCATACATGTTTATTGGAAATGGGCTCAAGGACAAAGTGCCTAAAGAGAATAGTGGATTTGACTACTACAGTCTCTATAATCCAAGTGCTGGAACTATCGTTTTGACAACATGGTATGATAGTATTCCAAAAGTTCCGAGTGAGAAGAACCATCAAATGGACACCTAAAGACTTTTTGACTCCTCTTCCTCCCAAATGAAACAAATTTACCTATAGATTTTTCAAAGAAATTGGAATTGGGAAAGTTGGTGTTGAGAGACAACGATGTCCATTAAGAGAAACTTCTGCTATACAAGGCAATTTGAATAACTCACCTCAAGGGGAAGGCATTAACATGTTTATGTAAAGAATAAGATTTTTGTAAGAAGCATATTAACCTTTCTTTAAATTTATATGGGCAGTGCTTATTACACCATTTCCAAATATATAATTAATTTCTTTCAAAACATATTACTGTGATCGGCAATTGATTTCTCACTATTTCTGTGACAAATACTCTTGTATCAAAACACCTCGTGTTGTTTATAATTTGTCAGGACACCCCTTACCATTGTTAAAATTAACTACTATAAGAACTTTTTTTCTTACACTCATTAGCCCCTACAACGCAGGGGCCACCCCGCTAGTTAATAGATTAATAGATTAGTGGATTAGATGGTTTGAAGCTAAGTAGGGCAGGAATGCATGTGATTAATCCAATTCATTTTTGTCAAATTTTGATTATCAATGTAGCCATAATTGGATTAAATCATATTAGAAAATATAGTCGCTTATTAATAAGCGTAGCAGCACTTGTCAAGGCACTTGTTTCTGCAAGTTGTCTCATTCTGAGCTTCAGGATATGATGACTCTAGTTTTCTACCCTTTGAAAATTGCAGAAGAAAGAATTCCCCCTTCTCACAACTAACAGTATTTCTCGTGCACGCATCGGAGTACTTACCGGAATTCCATTCCTCTGAGTGAGTCTGTAGGATGGAAACCCTGCAAACATGTATAGACCGGTGTATTACTGTTGTTGCAAACAGCGTTAGCACTACAGGTTTTGTAAATGTTGTAGTTGTTGGAAAATGGGGTCACTGAAATTTGGAGGAGAAGTTTTGAGGCGTGTCTGAAGACACTATCTTTAGAACGTTATTTGCCCCCATTCAATTTTATTGAGTTTGTTATTGGGTTACATGCAAATCCGTTCCCATTATACAACAGAGCCTTAGGTGAGAATCTACAACCAGCAAAGTTGAAGAGTCTACGAATAAACCTTCTGTGAGACTGTAGCAGATCGGACTAAGAGAAAAAGGGTGAGTGATTTTCAAAATTATATGTGAAATGCTTAATTCACAAAGGCTTAGTAAATGAATAAAGGAAACCTCTGCAAGTTTCTATAAGGAGTGCTCCAATTTTTCTGAGGGTGCTCAAACTAGAGCTTTTGCGAGTTCCAGGTTTTGCGTTCTCATGCCAGGAAGTAAAATAGAAAAAAAAAATATTTTCTATTTTTTATTTTTCTGGAGTTTTTAATAAAATTTTCTGCATTTTTATTTTTTATAATTTATTAATTAATCTATTATTTTTTATATTTGTTTAATGGTGGGAGTAGCTGGAACACCATTAGATAGCAATATACAGTTGTATTTGCATTGATGAAAATGCCAAACATCCACAAAAATTGTATTGTTATTTGCATTTTTCAAAACAAATGAACTGAATGCAAAGTGGGTGTGTAAATCTTGAACCACTTTGCACTCACATGAACCAAACACTTTTGTTTTGCACTCTACAAATTTATATTCATACTCCTTCCAAACACAACCTAAAATGTAAAATGAAGTGACTTTCACCATAAGTGAAAGACAATGAAAATATGAGGATTATCCATCCATCTAGTTGTAAGGTAGATGCAAGATAATGTGTTTTTTCGCAAGCTATTTTTTCCAAACGAACCAAACTCCCGTGGGTTTGTAAGTTGAGTAAGAAAAGATTTCTTTCTCATTTGTTGGCTCTCCAACTTGCCCCTTATTTCCAATTTTCATGACCATCAATAATCCAATTTAAATAATGATACTGTGAACGATTCATTATTCTGAGGCATATAAACGACGGATGATAGTTGTACATGTGTACTAACGATCATAAGTCCATAACCGGTTTTAAAGTCATTAATACTTGTTTTGGTTTTGTTCTTCTCTTTTTTAATCAAAATGGTTACTTTTTAAAGCTATGGTTTCACCAAAGAAAATCAATTAGTACTTTAATCGCCATCTCCATCTACCAATCCTATCTATAGGCCTGCCTCTTAGATTTATTATATTCTTGAAATCCAACCACTAGGAGTGCAATTTGGGCTTGCGTTGGGTTTTTATCAAACTTTGAATGGCCCAGCCCAAACACCAAAGTTCGAAGTTAGGGTTAGGCAATTTTGCTGAAACTTTTGGGTATTCGACCCATCTCTGCACAACTGCGATAATTTCTTGGGATGTTGTTGGGACTATGAATTGGTAGCAGATCTGAACTCTCATTTTAATTGGATGGGATTTGGACCCAATTGGAACCACAGTCCAGTCCATTGACAGCCTATTTGATATATTGCCTGTCTGGATGCTTTCGCTGAGCTTTGGGGTGTGGAAATCAAAAATGAGCCAAAAAAATGTTTGGAGTGTTTAATAAAAGTTGCTTCCAAAAATATAACAATTTAGAGCCAAAACACTTTTAAATCCTAATCAACAAAGCCTAAAATTAATTGGGCCTTGTACTTTCGACTTGAAAAATCAAAATCACAAATCCTATAGCTTATCCAAATGCAAATGCAACCATAGATAATCCTCCTGTGAAAGAGCAACCCAAAGTAGAACCTGCAAATAAAATCTCAATTTCCAAATGGCTGTTCATCGAGAATGGATTAACTAATTAAAAATACCACCAAGTTTTGTTTGTTTGAATGTCTTCTATTTTTTAGACATTGATTCTTCTAATCCTTATTCCACATATTAGTTCAAAATAATCACATATTATTAAAAAGTTTATACATGCATATATGCACACACATACATACATACATACATACATCAACATTCAACACACTACAATAAACAATCAGCTAATGAGATTGGCGTCTTGTCCTGATCAATCTGGTCCTATGGCTCTTGAGGCCATGATATCTGTCCTCCCCCTCCTTTGTATCAGCAACACATCTCACACAGCCAGCAGCAACATAAAGCGAACAGGCTGCCCAGACAAAATAATCAAGCTTAGAAGCAACAACAGAATACAATCCGAATTGGGGGATTTTTCTAACCATGTTACCATAACTTACCATCCCTCAATGAAGCCTCTGTCTCCCTTCTTCTTTGACTGTGGGCAGCATTTCTTCCGAGTGGGAGGATTTTCAGTTGGATATCCTTCTACATGAACAAAGAAGAAACTAGCTAGTCAGTCCACAAAACGCTTGAATTAAATAAGAAAACACAAGCCAAGCCATTTCTCTCTAAGGGTGCTCTTTCAGAGAGAGAGAGAGAGACCTGGAGGCGGTTGGGCTTCTGACTTGGGCATTTTGGAGCAGAAACAGCAAACGGTACAAGCTACTGTAGCCCCTTACGATTTGGAGGCTGTTCAATTAATGTTTTCTTGAACTCCAGTGGATATCCCACTCCATATATATATACTTTGACATGGGGCTTACTTTGCTCATCGGCCAGCACCAGTTAATTCTAAAGCGAGTTTCTTCTTCTTAGAAATAAGAAACCTATTGCGTACATAGATGCCTTTACTTTTTTCCTCTGCCAACAGCCTCATAAACTACCACGCTGACGATTCCCTCGTTTTCTTTTTTTATTCTGATTAATATTTTTTTTTTTTTATTCTATGCATGTTTGGATCGGCTTTCGCTCTTGTTTGTTTGAACATGGCTTCACATTAATCCATTCTACAAATTTCTTTATTTACTGCAAAGAATTCATCATGGTTTTAAAAAACGTCTCCGAAACGGAATTGTTCTGGCCATTGGTTTCTGAGTTGACGGTTTGATCGTTCGATTTGAAAAAATAATTCGTTCTGACAAAAAATAAAAATAAAAAATGGCCAAAAATCATTAAATGAATTGACGGTTTAACCACCCAAATCAATAAATCATTAACTGATTTAATGATTTTTTGCCAGAAATCGGATTTAGAATAAAATGGAACCGGTTGCTTAAACAATTTTCGAGTCAAACGGTTCAATCATCCAGATGAACGGCGGCGGTTCAAAAACCATGAAATCCATTACCTCATTTGACCCGAAAATCGCTGATAAGGTAGGAACTAGTAGTAATATATACTGTAAAAAAAGTAAACTATATAAGACACAGATAAGAAAATGCCATATGTTGGTCCCTCAGGTTCCCGAGGGGATAGACTGGGTATGATTCTAATCTTTAGCATTTTGTAGTTTCATTCAAACCCACACACCCTCATGCATGTCAGCTTTAAATTTTATCATTAAATCAAGTAATAATATCCCCATTTTTTTAAGCAAATATCCCCTAAAATTATGACACAGATAAGGAATAGATTTTTTATCATAAAAAGCTTATAGTGTAACCAAGAACTCAGATCCTGTACGCCGATGATGAAGAAAATTTTCTACACCAGACCAATAGCAATTTGCCATGCCAGTCAGTCCTTCCCTGGCCATCTCAAAATTAAAGTATTTTTTCTATATGATGTGGCAGATTGATATTAGTTGGTACTAAACATTTTCTGCACCAATGGTGCAGAGGATTTCAGTTCAATAACCAATGGATTTCTCTAATAATAATAGCATGATACTTTCTTAGTGTTGTGATTTCAGCAACTGTACCATAGGGATGGTTTTTTTGCTTCCTTATTAGTGTTTCTTAAATATTTTTTATTTGCTGATCTAAAAATTGTCAAACAAATCTGCATTCTAGGGAATTTTGAATGTTCTCCTTCAGAATTAATTGATGGTGAAAAAAAAATCCTATGAAACATTGCATTCTTAGCTTTCTTTGCACTCCTTATTTCTCTATCAAGTGTTCTAACTTAAGCATCGGAGTATTTGAAGGAATGAGACATCCATCGTATGGACGCCCAGATCTTGCGGAATAAGGGGCGAATTTCAAAAATTTTTCTCTCCCTTCAACTGTGAATCGCATTCCCTATTTAGAAAAACATATTTTTCAATGATCAATCTTGAACCATGAACCAAACCAGATCTGAACCAAAAGGAATATGAGGGAGGATGTACCTGATGCGGAGAAACAGTATCTCCCAGTAAGGTGTATGGGAGTGATGCCAAGTGACCATCTCAACTAGATAGGCCCAAAATAAAAGGAAAAAACATTTCCTGCCACCATATGGCATGAAACCCCCAATGAAATGCAAATACACCGGCCTTAATAAATTAAAAAAAAAAAATCAGTTGATATAATGCCTTGAATTTATTGGTGTTCCAATGACCCATTATTGAACTGGACAATTGATCCATTTGAGCTCTGAAACACCAAGTTTTCTGATCAGTCCAGTTTAGGGGGTTTCAAATTGTAACACTACCTCAAAAGGTTGATTCATCTTCAAATTAAAGATGTATGGACACAATGTAAATTTGTGATCACTCTGAACTGTTAAAGATAAAGCACATAAAGTTGTATTAACAGCCTAACATAAGAGTATTGAAGCCTGTCACCTTTTGAGACTGCCTTTGGATTGGTTACTTTACTTCTATCTACTTGGCAAGATGTCAACAGAAAGAAAAGCATGGAGTACCGAAAGAGATGTTTGAGAAAGGGATACAGAATTTTGTCAAGTACGTTGTATTGTATGCTCTCTTTTCAAAAGAGGAATATATGCTTCGTTTTCCTTGTATCATCAACAGCTAGTAGCCAACAAATATAAAAACCACCGACTCAACAAAGTAATAACAAAGTGGTAGGATTTATTTTCACACACACAGCATCTAGGGCTTCTTTAATTCAAGGTATATGCCATTGCCAACTGATCGAATAGTCCAGCTGAGGCGGTGGTCAACATGCCTCAGGCAAATAGTTTCATTGAAATGGCGATTGATTTTGAGGCCCCACCATATCATCTGACGTTTAAGTTTTGGCCATAGGAGTCATTTAGATGAAATGTCGTAGCTTTGCTCCACACTCCACAGAGAACAATAAAATAACAGCAAAAAATGCTCTTAATAAGATAGATTCTACAGGAATGGTGAGAAAAATAGGTAAATTGGTGGAGCTTGATAAGCTTTAGGGTTTATGCTTTTGAAATCCAAAAGGCACAAAATCCCAGGTCTAGGGTTCATTTGGGAGGGCTTTACCTTTGGTTGAACTGCTTTTACCAATTAAGCTGCTTTAAAGAAGCTTCCAAACAAGTTTTACCAGAAAATCAACTTTTAGCTAAAGAATAATGTATTTGGACTTTACCAGAAAATCAACTTTACCAAACATTGCTTCTAGGCTCTCCAAGTCTCCATATAGGATCCACCTTGCAAAGCAAAAGTTGCTGGATGAAAACACTCCGAAACAGGCACTTAGGCTTTGTGCTTTGGGGTAGTCCGGATCTGCTTTGGGAGATATCCTCAACGCATGGTGGAATGTGCTTGTAAGGTCGTTGTAAGATGAGCAGATCCCAATTCTCTTTGGGGATTAATTAAAAGCGCTTTGACTTTAGCTTTATATTAATTTTATGTTTTAAAAGTAAATTATAACAAATGCTCAAAGCATTTTTTGAGTTTATTTTTCTTCTCATAGCCCAAGGCTCAAGAGGGGAAGCTTATCTATACAGAATTAATACCTTGTGTTTTTTAATTTATTTATATAATTGAAGGCTAAGCCAAATTCCATTCATCAATCAGATCAGATGGATGTCCTCAAAGAGGGGATAGATAATACAAGGTGGGAGAGGAAATCTGCCTGACCACGCGTTTAGATTAGCATTAATTCTCTAGGGACTGATGGGCCAAATTATTTATGAACCGCCTTGTTATGACTGAGTGAAATCTCATCAAAAGGTTCCTGCACTCGGCTATTAATTAGAGATATGATACCCTTTACGGCCCTACCCCAGTTAGGAGGAGTTGAATCCTCCAACAGAAACTGGATACCATCCTTTGTGTCACCTTCAACAACCACTTCGCGAAGAGAGAAAATTCAGCCAACTTCAAGAACAGTATTTTCTTCGATCTGCCTCTTCAGGAAAACACAAGTCAACGGGGTTCGATCTGCTACAGACATGGTGGCCCTCGTGGCTGCAGATCAAACTTCCAATCCCAGCCAAATTTGAAGTCACCGAATCATCAACATTCACCTGCTAGCTTGTACGTACCAACCAGACTGAGAGAGCAACCAACGCATTAGGTTGGATGAATTTGGACGTAGATCCTATCTTCGGGCTCAGGGGTCAAGCTATCTAACGCCAAGGATGACATAAGTGAATTCACAAATGTATTAACCCGCATCAGTAGACGATCAGGCACAGTCTCCTTGAACACGGCTTCATTTCGCATCCCCCACATGAACCACAGATGAATGGCATATGAGCCATGGTTAAATGATCACTGGAGCCATTAGAATCATGAGTATATATGCCACCCCAAAAGCCATTCAATCAGACTGCTGCCTATATTCTACACACTCACAGAGATATATGGATGCGATCAACATTTCCATACTTGAGTTGCACAAAGGAGCAAAGGTCAGAAGACTCCGAACTACAAAGAAAAGGCCATTACCCAATGTTAGTCCCAGCTATCTGGGGTCTATTGGATGGGTGGACTGGATACAGTCCTAACCCACCCTTGGCATGTTTCTTGCACAAATTAAAAAGAATACAATCAGGAAACAAGACTAAAAGGAGTGAAACTAGGAGAAGGAATTGGGCAAGCTCAAGTGCAGACCTGTCAGCTGATCTAGAAATGTGAATAACCATTCAATGGTGGAGCAGAACTGTTGAAGGAGATGCTTGCAATCTGCAATGATGATAAATTTGCACCAATAGAAGTCAGGTTTTTTTCCGATGCAAATGTTGTTAGGTTTTAATATCTGTTAAGTGGGCTTACATATTCAATGAAACAATTGCATTGATGGGCTATCTTGTAAGTGGGCTAAATCAAGTGATTCATTTA